CTTGCCTTCAGCATAAGGAATAACAGGAAAATTATTTCCTTTTTTCAGAATAGTCAGAAATCTGAGACTTAGCTTAAGTGCCGTATTAATCACTTAAATTGCCTGCTGCCGCTATTTCTGCCACTTCATCAGGGGAACAGCTGCCTGTGTGTAAAACCTTGGCTTTTGAGACTCTCTGGTTCCACAGTCTGGGTCAACGTGTGGGACCTCTAGTGGGACCTCAAGGAATAGAATACTTGAACCAATTTGCAGTTTCCTGGGGCTCAGTTGTTTACTTTGTACAAAACAGTCCCCAGAAGGCACACACCAGCCGTTGGCAATCGTCCGGCAGGTACTGAATGGCTGGGCTTCAGAGGCAGGCAGCAAAGTTTGCACGTTTCAGTCCTGTAGGAAGATTATGTTCATGGGAAAGGGTGTGGAGTTATGTGATAAAACATAAACCACAATAATTAATTGTGGAGATGCAGTGATTGACGACACCATTGTGCCCCTTTGACTCAGTTACCCACAGATTTGCCATGCTGGGATTTATTTGGCAATTAACCCGCTCCAGAATGGTTTTTCTTCTCCCCTGTTAGGCAGAATTTTCCACTGGGGTTACTGTGGTGTGAAGTTGATGAAGCACAGGTTTCCTTGTGCCCAAATGTTAGCTTTTCCATGCATAAACTCATTATGGCTGGAAGTCAAAATCAGGCTAGAAACCAGAAGGTTTTTCTCCCTTCAGAAAGGAGTAATTCCAGTTTCTCAATGGGACACTGCACTTAATTTTGAACCGTAAAGACCAAAATGTCAAACTTGAAGGTGTCACCTCACTGTCCAAAGAAAAGCCATTGCATAGGCTTGATAGGACCCACACAGCTCACTCCTGGCTTTGCCACGTGAATAACGTGCCTGTGTTGTTAAACCTTTGGTACTCTATCCAGACCTACATATCTTCCATGAGCAGTAACTCAAGGCTGTTTTCAGAGGCTTTAAAACATTTTTTAAGATTGTGTTTCCTTGCTGAGCTACCTGGAAGCCTGTTTTTCATGAGTCAAACTATTCAAGGTTCAGGACGAGCAACAGCCACGGCTAAAAATGACCTGATGTACCTTTTTCATGCTTAATAATGTCAAGATTTGAAAGCATTTAATCTCTTTTTTTTCAAGACCTGCAGGTGAATCTGTGTCCCCCTGGGAGCTGGGAATTCCCTCCTTCCTACAGCATAAGGGTCACATTTGTAGCCCTACTTCCCTGCGGGATACGGTCTTCTCAGATGTGAAATGTTAATGGGTATCAAACTTTCCCAGTGATTCAGAACTGAATCTCAGCCGTCCGTGGCGTCATGTAGTTAGTTTTATGTGGAAAAACTCTAAACTTCGTGAAGTAGGCTAATTATTTCATATTTTAATCTCTGAAATTGCTTGGGGAGTTAGAACACTAGAATGAATCTCTACCGATAAATGAGCAGGCAGAGAGTCAGTAAAAAATGTACGATAAATGAATTTGTCACAAGCTTCAGCAATTTATCATTCATTTCCATAATTAATCACAAAGCTCTGAAATATATTGTATTCATATCATCTCTGCAGATACACCCACTAGCAAATGGCATAGTTCTGTGACCATATCTCTTTGGTTCAAAATTAAGGTAAAAATTAAAAGAATATTTCAAGGAATACAGAAATTGAGAGATCATGAAACATAAATAAACCAGAAAATCTACCTCTTGATCTTTTTTGCTTTCCTATGGCCTTACCTGAGTTCAGGCAGCCTTGGTACATAGTTTGGAAAGCCCTGGCGATGTGTTTGGGATCAGAATATTGTGCTTTGCTTTGTGTCTTTTGCCAGCCCCTCCCTGACACCCAGTATAATGGCAACCCAGAGTCCGTGGGGTACAGGATAAAGTTGTGGCGTGTGGACCTGCAGTCTGCTGCCCTGATGAAGGTTATTAATGACCGACTGGAAAGAGAGTACACGATTGAAGATCTGGAGGAGTGGACGGAGTATGAACTGCAGATCCAGGCTTTCAATGCCATCGGGGCAGGACCATGGAGCGAAGTAGTGAGAGGTCGGACGCGGGAGTCGGGTAAGTCAAAGCACCACGTCTGCTGTGAAGGACGCATCTGAGAACTTCGGTGTTTTCTGCCCTTTTGTTCAGTTTCTTTTGTTGGTTTTTTTTTTTTTTCTCGTTGATCTATTAAATCTAAAATTAAATTTAAAAACCAATCTCTAGATGCACAGAAGGCAAAAAGTCACATAGACATTTGAGGGAGTTATTTATTTATTTTATTTCTGTGCTACTTTCATGCATAAACCTGTTGCTTTAAAATTATTTAAAGCAAACAAAGCAACCCCTCCTCATTCCTGCCCTCGTTTGGCAGCAGTACGGACAACACCACGCGAAGCTTGCACACAGCCTTCTCTAGCTGAGCAGGTCTCTCGTGCCTCCTCTCCCTCCCCAGTACCCCATTGCCCCTCATTCTCCCCATTTCCCTCTCTGCTTGTAGGCTTGGGCAGATTTTCTCACAGTTGTGTTTTTTTGAAATTTAATTTCAAGCACCAAATATTTCTAAAAGGGCACAAGTTATTTTAGAGAGCTGATTACCCATATAGAAATAAAAGAATTATCTGAACTTTTGATGATATGTTTTCAAAACTGCCTTCTAAAACTGTGTGTACAAGGCTATATAGACACAACCTGCCTATAGACCTAGAGCACCAGTGCTGTATTGTCCTGCTGCATTGTGCTGGCAGACTTCAAATATCAGAAGCAAACTCTTGAGCTCAGGCAACAGTAAATTATTGTTAGCTCCATAGCAACAGTAAAGACAGATCTTGAAAAGCTGCTCTTCGGCTGTTAACTTCCACAAAACCTCTTTCCAACCCTACCTTACGTGCACCTGGTGTATTAATTTATATTGCAACTGAATAACAAAATCGATGACATATGTGGTTTAAAAGTTTCATAATAAAAGCTGTTGTGACCTGTACTTAAGCAAGGTTCAACACTGATATTTTTCCTTATTATTTTTTCCCGTTTTTCTTCCTTAAAAATGTTTGGAATTTAATCCTATGTCTACCCTTCGCTCATAGACACACAGATGCATGTCTGTGCGCTCTGTACCGCGCCGCGTTACTGGGTGGGAAGCGTGAACGTGCAGCACACAGCAGGATTTGGTCTGCCGGTTCAGATAACTGTCCTTTGAACTAGCCAAGGAGAAGGGTAAACAGAGTCATCCCCCTCCATTAAAGCATCGCTTTTTGGGAAGCAGTAATTGGAAAGCTATTGCCGGAGGTATTTTAAACAAGGCGTGCTTGTGCTGGAGCTGGAGATAGCCTGACCCAGACGGAAGAGTTTTGAAGTGTTCTGTTTCATAATAAAAAGATTCTCCACTTTCCCCTTTCCGCTGCTCTTCAAACACTTCTTTTGAAATGTAGTAAATACTAAGATTAAGTGATTTCATAAAACCTTAGGATTATAGTGCTCTTACTCAGCATCTAAAGATCAGAGGTTACGGGTGTATTTGGTGTTTTCTCTTGCGGTATTAAAAGCAGGTTAACTTGAAACTGGTTGTAGGAGGCACACAGAAACTGGGATCAAAACAGCACAAAGGTATGATCGAGGCTGTAAGGACTCATTTGGGTGTTTTCATGTGTTTTCTTTGATACTAACATCTGGTTTCTTCAACAGAGCAAGTCAGGGCTCAGACTTTTGGCTGTATATTCTTAGATTTAGAATATGCAACAAGCGCTGGCATAGTGGCAAGCTGCATGAGAGAACTTCAGGGAATCTGCAGTTAACCTGTGTGCACAGTCTAATGGGGTTAAAATGCAAATAAAAGATATCCAACGCCAGAGAGAAAGGTCAAAGCACTTTTAGGTCTGTCTTCTGAACTATAAGAAAAATTCTATTTATTGTTTGTGTGTTCAAAGTACTTTAAAAGCCAGTGTTCTAAATATTTTTTTTAGCTAGAGCCCGCGCACTAAATCAGCTCCTGGCATCTAATGGCAGTCTGGCCACTGGAGTCCAAAATCTTCATTAAAAATAAAGCTGTACTTGAACCACTTCTGTTTATTATAGGATGTGCGATCATATCACTAATAGCTGAACACACATGCTAACAGTGAAGGAGCAGGACATTACAGGTACTCTCTGGTTTCTGGAGTTCTTCAATATAAAACATTTTGAAACTAATAAACTCTTGAAAGAATAAATAATACTGGGGAGTTTGGTAGCCCAGGCTTAGAAACCAGTTGGGAAACACTATGAAATGAAAATCTGGGATAAGGTTTCAAGCAGCTGAAGATGGAGGGGGATGAATTGGCATTTTTAAACAGGACAGGTTTTATCAATCCAACAATGGTTTTTATAATGTTAGAAATTAAATAACTCATTAAATTTTACAGTGTACAATAACTTCAGAGTAACAAGCTCAGTTTTCACTCAATAAGTTAAAAATGATAGTAGGTACAATAGAGAGAAAGCAAGAAAATGTGAAGCCTTCTAATGTGTTAGAACAACCTTGACAAGGCTGCTTCCTTCTAAATATAATTTCAAACAATTCATCTCAAATACAGCTAACCCAGTGCCTTCATATTTTCGGACTCCTAATATTCAGCTACATGGATGTATGTACTTGTCTTACAAAATCATCTGCTATCCAAGCATGGCCACATATGTATGGCAAGGATCAATCTCTTGATGTTTCAGGGACTGACCTTCATGCAGCCATTACTGTGGTGTGATAAAGCATCGCTTGATCATTCAGATGTGGTCCAATGTCACTGCAGGGATTTGTCAGTTTGTACAAGCTGAGAATCTGGCCTGCGGTATCTAATTTTATAGGTAAAATGGATGTGTACTGCAGCTATGCTCCCTTTGCCATGAACCTTGCTCTAAATTTGCGCTTCTTAATTGACGGCAGATGTACAATATGCCAGCTTAATTTTTACTTTCAAAAACCAGTGATGGATGTTCAGCTAAAATGAGCTGCAGAAGCGGAGATAACCACTGCGTCCCACTATCTAGATTCCTTAGAAAGCCGGAACACAGGCTAGCTTGTTAAAATCTTCTTTTGGCCCTGTTAGAGACGCAAACCAGCATCATTTGCTATCTCTCAATTATGTAGCCATCAGATGTAGAAAGAGGATGCCTGATCTTAGATGCCAACGCAGATAACCTTAAAAATTTGAGTTCTTATTGAAGTTCAAGTGCAAAGTGCCAGTAACTCTATAATTTCCTACATTTGATTTTCTTAAAGTACATGGTGCAGCTGGCGGTTTGCTGGGTTAGCTCATCGTTTAGTTTCGGTGTTTCCGGTTCATGGCGTTAAAGCTCTGGGATTTTTTTGGATGCTATTGCTTGACTTCTGTGCTGTTCTTGCAGGTTATTAATGAGAACTCGGCTTTGGAGCTTATAACAAAGTCTTCAGTGCAACAGTTAAGGAAACCAGCATTAGGGAAGGGGGCTTGCAGAGGAAAGAGGGATTTATGTGCCTCACTCAAGCCACTCATTAGTCTTAGCAAACGAAAATTTCTTTGAATCAGGATATCCTGAGAGAGGAGAGGGGTCAGAGAGATGAAGGTTACATTTCAATTCATTCTTAAAGGGTTGATCCAAATCTGTTACTTGGTAAAAGACTGGCAACAATAAAATCCATAATATCACTTGCAGGTCCTGAATTCATACATCCACATTAGAATAAAATTCTCAGCGCTCATATGAGACCTGGAGAATTAAAGCACTCAATGAACCCAGTATTTTTGCCGTTTAGCATTGGCCTTAGATTCCTTTCTAGGGAGAGGGGACATTTAGCTGCTCTGGCTGGTCACTGGGAATTGAGAGGAGTCTGGGCTAATCGATCTTCACATAGACCTTTCCCTCCTTTGTTATCTTTCGCGTCCCCCTGCCAGCGGCGTGATCGTACGCGCACCTCAAAGCCAGTCCGGGCACAGCCTCCACCTTCTGTGAGTTCAGGAAACCTCCTGGCTGCTGATCAAAGAGGAAAAGAAATATTTGTAAAATAAATAAAATTTTTTTCCTCTCTTGAAAGGCTTCAAACCAGATAAAATAAAAATAAATGTGGCTGGAAAGGGCTTCTTTCCTCTACATGTCCTGGTTTCCTGTGACCCACCTCCACCCTTTCTCTCGCCAGAAGTGATTCATGTGGGAGTAGCTCTTTGTGAAGATCTACAGATAAAGTTATGGCAGCTATCCAAAGACATTCATGGCTCCTGGCAATCTATTTTCCTTTAACGTAATTATATCCTTGTGGGGGATAAATCTAGGAGAAGACTTAAAAAAAAAAAAAAAAGGCACTTCAGCATTGGAGGGGGAAAAAATTGGGTTCTGGTCTGGTGCAGTGTTGTGTGATGGTGCTCTGTTTCTCCTGTCCCAAATAATTGATAACGGGGAAATTGTTTCAGAAATTACAAACTCTGCAGTTAACCTTGAGTGCATGGGGGGTGCCTTTTTTCAGTTGTTTTTTCAATTTATGTTAATTCTGGTGTCATATTCATTATCTCATTCATGTTCCTAGGAGCTCCAGGAGCTGACCTTCAAACCAGTGGGTCTGTTCTTTTATTCGGACAGCCAGGAGAGCATTACTTTTGGCAGAGATTTGTGCTCCTTTTTGTGATCTACTCAGGGACCTAATCAAGCCTTACTGTCCATAAGTGCTTGTGTAACATAACTCGGTGAAGTGTTCTCTTGAGGTCTGACAGGTGTATCGCGCTTTAGAAAAGATTGTACCCTTCAGATGTTGGAAATGCCACAGGAAGGAAAAAAAAATGCAAAAGGGCAGCATAAAATGTGAATTCTTAAAAATAACCTCAAATTTTGCTTGCGTAACACGGCACGCTATTAAGCTCGCCTAGAAAAGCTTGCAGTTGTGTGGTGGTTCTGCAGCGGTTGGAGTTTTAATGGCATGAGAAAATGCAAGTTTGCTTTTCTTCTCGAGTCAGAGAAAATTACAGTGTTCCTGTTCCAGTTCTAATGATGTTTCTAGTTTCGTAAGAGCCAATTTTGCAACATAAATGAAATGGGCATATCTCTCATTTACACCGTATCAGTCCCTGAAAATACACCTTGTGTTAATGTATCCGTCTATAATTGATGTATTGCAAGTGTTGAGAGCTATCACATAATCAAAAGGTTTAGAGGTTAAAGAACTTCTTACTGAACCGGGAGTGCAATCCAGTGGCTGAAATTATTGCTAACTCTAGACAAGATGCTATAATTTCCTTTTGGATAATATAGGAAGCCAGGGTGGCGTAAAACTTCTTGTTAGAACAGATTGTACCATAAGATAAACTCCAGTTCATAAAGATTTCTAGCTTTTGGCATAAATAGAACGTATGGGAAAGAAATACTAGGAGATAGACTTCTGTAGAAGTCCAGCAATTCAAACTTGACTCTAATTACTGCGAATATATAAACTTGAAATTTATTCATATCTGTCTGTATTTACTGTCTCTCTGTAGACACTGATTAGTATTAAATGCTTAACTCTTTACAAACATTGTGATTTCTGAGATGAACTGGCAAGAAGTTGCAAAGCCGGCTGAAATGTAAAGATGATGTAGGATGAATACAAGAGAAGAAGGGATTGCCTAGAACCTGTTCCAGTCCTCTTGGATTTGAGTACTCTTCTATGGGATCCTGGAACAATCCCAAGCAGATAGGGAGATGGAGCAGAATTATCTACTATGTCTGACCCAAAAAAAAGCCGTGTGATTCCAGTTCCCTCTGCTCCTCCTGAGAACGTCTCTGCTGAAGCCGTGAGTTCAACCCAGATCCTCCTGACATGGACAGCGGTCCCCGAGTCCGAGCAGAATGGTCTCATCCTGGGTTACAAGGTGTGTAACTGGAGTTTCATGCTTGCTTACTTTTTAATGCTTTACCTGGATATGGTTTTGCATTTGTTATTTATTATTCACCTGCTGGATATTTGTATTATTCATAAATCAGCTGGAGGAGATATAGGAAGTGTGCTGGTTTTTAAAGAGGTGACTGGTGAATAAAATCTCGTTTTATATTTGGTGAAGAGGAGGAATCTAAAAGGCATACCCCTCTTTTTGGTCCTCATGTAACAATCATTTTCTTTCTATATTTCACATCCATTTATTCTGCAGATACTTTTCAAAGCAAAAGATTTGGACTCTGAACCAAAGAGCCAAATAGTCCGAGGTAACCACACTCAGTCGTTCCTGCTGTCTGGCTTGCGGAAATACGTGCTCTATGAGATCCAGGTGTTGGCATTCACGCGGATCGGAGATGGAGTCCCCAGCTCTCCTGCAGTGATAGAAAGAACCAAGGATGATGGTAAGTTTGAAGGTTACCAAAATAAGTGTCATTTGATCCAGCCTTTCAACTCTGCTTTCTTTTGGTGGTGCGAGTGTAGACAACAGCCCAAACTAAGGATATTTTTTTTTTTTTAACTTTTTTTCTCAACTTTGAACCTAAAGGACTTGGTCCCTACCTAGTAAAACTCAGCACTGTTCCATGGGCTGAGGATTTGACAAAAACACAGAAAACCAGAGTTACCCGTTTCCTTCCTCCCTGCAGCTCATGAAGAGAAAAAAAACTTCCAGCATTGTACTCTGAAGCTTGGTGTAGACAATTTCCATTGAAGACAGTTTTTAGAGCCCAATTATAAATTCCTATTGAAGTTCAATCATGCTCAAAAAAAAAAAAATTAGAGTGCTGCAATTGAAAGCAATAAACAAATCTGGGTCTGACTGACTGAAGGAGAGAGATCAAATTTGCAACTTTGGTAACCCATTCTCATTTATTTTCTGAAAAGAATAAGTCCTTGGCCCTGGAAGATGATCATACCAGTTTCCTTTTGCAACTGCCTCCAGCACTTCCCATGAGCTCGGGGACTCCCGAGTAAAGTCTGTGCTGAAGGAACCCAAGCGAGCCCCTCTCCCCGGTGCTGTCTGAACACGTTGGGGTGGTGGGAGCATTACTCCTGCTGATGGAGTTTTACAGAAATTTAGCTCAACTCTTAAAATGTTTCTGACTTTGCAGACGCTGAAGTTACTTTTAGTTTTATTACCTTTCCAGTTTTAAATGAAGGTTGCTATCAGTGTGAGAGGCTTCTGTTTACTGCTCCCGATTGATGATGCACAAAAAAAAAAGTGTCTTTTTTTCATCAAAATCTTTTCATTAGTAATGGAATAAACATTGGTTTCTACAAGCAACTTCATTAAGGTAATTGGTAGGGCTGAAAACACATTCAAACTTATGGCTTCACAAGATATTTTCTATGGAGTACAGGGAAGGAGTAAGAGCATGCAGGGACAGGGACAGGAATGGCAATAGGGACAGCAGCTCCCTGACACTTTTTTAGCCATTTTCTCACCATTCTGCCTGGGTGGGGGATTGGCTTTTCTTTGAAAGGAAACGAAGAGAAATTACTGTTAGTACAACTCTGCAGGGAGAGAAAAAGTACTCACTGAAGTGTACATATTGGGCTGTAATGAGAAATATTTAAAACTGTTTATTTTAGATAACCCCATTATAGCAGCTCCCTCCTTAAGTGCATGTTGGCAAATGATACAAATTGTTCTTCCATCTCCATACCCCTGACATAAATATGTTGTATCTCCTCTGGGCTCAACTTAATTAAAAGTATTGTCAGGGGTAATGCAGGTGGAATTTGTGCTGAAGGGGAAATTTTGCAGATGCTAATGTACGAATTAGCATCTCCTCACCTTGTGAACCTGGGATGGTCACTGCAGCCAGCAGCCGCCTGCGGTAACGTGCATCTCACCTGCCTCAGGTCCTCCTGCTCAGACCTACGTGGTTAAAATGCACAGGTAAAATCAGGAGGCAGTTCAAAGCTGGTGCTGATGACATGGGAGGAGATAGTACTCAGTTCCAACAGGTATGAAGCAGATGAAGCTGACACATAACTCTCTGTAAAGGCAGCTCGGTGACTTGCTTCACAGCGTGTAATCGGTTACGCGGCGGTGCTGCGGCTGCTCGCGGGGTCTCCTCGCTGTGCTGCTGGAGATGCCTCTCGCAGAGGTCAGAGCATCCTGCTAAACGCATTTCACAGGTCGGGTGAAACACCGCAGGCTGCACCAGTTCTGTGTCACGTTTGGTGTCCGTGGGTACTGGAGGCATTTGGCTATGGACAGGAGTCCTAGGAATCAATTTATAGAATCACAGAATGGTTTGGGTTGGAAGGGACCTTAAAGCCCACCCAGTGCCACCCCCTGCCATGGGCAGGGACCCCTCCCACGGGCAGGGACCCCTCCCACTAGCCCAGGTTGCCCAAAGCCTCATCCAGCCTGGCCTTGAACCCCTCCAGGGATGGGGCATCCACAGCTTCTCTGGGCAACCTGTCCCAGGTACATACATCACACATGTGCATAGGGGCTGCTAACCAGCTGTTTATTCCTGGGGAGATGCAGCTGGAGCTGCCGTCTTCACTGATGTAAAGTGAGCAGAGAACTTGTCATTCCTCAGGCGTGCAATGCTTCCTAGCAGAATCTCTGTTTTTCTTTGCAGCCCCCGGGCCACCCGTGAGGCTGGTGTTCCCCGAGGTGAGGCTGACATCCGTACGGATTGTTTGGCAGCCGCCGGAGGAGCCCAACGGAATTATTCTGGGTAAGAGGGAGCAGCAAACCCAGGGCTGGGGGGAGAGGGCTGGAGACCAGAGCAAGCTCCGGCTGTTGGGTTTTCCTTCCCGCTGCGTGTCGGATCAGAAACCACACATAAGCAAATCCGTGGCTAAAGAAAAGAAAATGTATTGATGTCAGCTGAGACATGGTACCCCATGGTGAGGAAGAAAGGTCTGCGTGGCTCTGTGGTGTACGTCAGTCATGGCACTGTGTTTGAACTGCCATCTCTCTCCCCATCTGCGGTTGGGTCTGTAACCTGTTGGGCTGGCTGGTGGGAAACTGTGTACAGGTAAGTAACAGCGGAATGCTGGATTTTCCCTTCTTTTTACTGGGCATGCCCAACATTTGTTTCATGCCCGCTTCTGTTTTATTGCTTCCTTTGGATAATAGTGTCTGATAAGTCCCAAGGAATTAACTCACGTTTTGGCTTTTCCTGAAGGGAAAAAAAAAAAAAAGAGGGGCAGGAAGGCATGACAAAAATTTATGAAAAACCTTCCTACCTTCCTGCTCTCCTGACTCCTGGGTTGTACAGTAAGTACACCAGCAGCTCCTTGTACTTCAAACATGAAGACTTTTACAATGTCGTAATTCATTCTTGCCTCTCAAATTAAAGTAGCTGATAGTTACACAGCAACTTTGTGTTCTGTGCTGGTATCAAACACATTTTACAGGTAGCTCTAGCTGGTGAATAAAGATTTGTCGCTCAGTGCTGAAAACAGAAGCAAAAGCTTTTGGTTTTTGTTTAGTTCTCAGTCTACCAGGCCTTTCTGCTTCTAATTTCGCTGCCATCATCCAGGCTTGTGCAATCCTTTAGCAGTATTTCCTAAAGCCTTCATTGTTGGTTGGAGGGTGCCCACTTCAGATGGTCATGCGTTGCTGGCGTCCCTTCAAATAAAGAACCACTCCTGCATTGCTTTTAATCTCAAGTCAAGAACTCCAAGGGTTTGCTCAGGTGTGTAGCTTCCCAAAGTGATCCTGACACCTGAAGATGCGGGAAATCATCAAATGGCATCCGGAGGTGACTGCTGTGGGGATTTTCTGAGCATGAGGAGGTGTCTGTGTGAAGCTTGGCAGTGGTGAGCTGCCAGAGACAGATCCACGCGGGGTTTCTCTGCAGCTCAGGGGAGCTTGGCTTCCAGGTTGTCTTGTGGGTTTGATTTGTTGCTTTTTTTTTTAAAGGAACTGTGTGTCCCAGAACTTGCTCTCAGCAGAGACTGGGACTTGAATCACAGGATGTGGTTAAGGGGGGGAAAAAAAATAATTTGATAGAAATGATGAGAAAGTACAAAAGAGATTTTGCTCTCCCAGCTGTGTTCCAATGTCTCACGTTGCTGCACTTTGTCAGCCTTATTTGCTGAAGCTGCAAGCTCAGTGAAATAGGAACTCTCTCTTATTTCATCTTTGCACAGTGCTTTGTGCAATGCATCCCCGTCTCAGTTGGTTCTCACTCGCTGCTGCTGCGGTGATGATAAAATCATACAAACGCAGGGCTGGAGGGAAAGGGGAAGGGTGTCCTGTAAAGAATGCTTGGCATGGTTAGCATGTAGACTGTTGTCTCCAGTGTCTCCCATAGTCCATTCCCAGTAATACATCCCAGGATACTTGATCATGTCCTGGCTTGGCTTTTTTCCAATGCTGATGTTGTAACTAAGTAGGTCTGTGACCCACTATTAATTCCGACCCTTCTGCAGTACAATGCCAGGTCAGTCAGTCCCTCTTTTGTGTGTACATTAAGCTTTTTCTCTGTAAGTGTGATAATTCGCAGGTGCCTTTATTGAATTTCATCTTACTGATTCCAGACCATCTCTCCTCATTATCGGGATCACTTTAAATTACACTCTTGTCCTCTAAAGGGCTCGCAGCCACTCACAATTTGGTTTTATTTTTGGAGTTTGCAAGTAGGCTGTCAACTCCATCAGGCAGGTCATTAATGAAAATATTGAATAGAACCAGACTCATGACTTCTTCTCATGAGACCTTACTTAATATGTTCTCCCAGTTTGTTAGCAAACTACTGATAACAACATTTTGACTTTTTTTTTAAAGTGTTCAAGCCGAAAGTGTAGTATTTTTCTCCGATTCTGTTTCTCTCGTTTGCTTTTAACAGGGCTGTGTGCAACCATATTAAACCCTTATTTCAGGTCAGTGTAGATCCTGTCTGCTCTTCCCATCTGGCCAATTACACTGTCAAAATGGAAAACAGATAATTTGCTATTTATTATTTGCTCCAGACAAATTACATATTGGCTGTTTCTTGGCACTTTATTATCCTTGTGGATGCTTACATATTGACTTATATTTTGTTTCCAGGATCTTTCTGGATGTTGAACTTTAGCTTGATTTGTCCATAATTCCTCTGGTTTTTCTTTCCCCATTTCAAAAGGTAGGGTACTCTGTTTGCCCTTCTCTAATATTCTGGGATGTCACCTGTCCTCCACAAGTTCTTGAAGATAATGACTAATTATTCCAGCGAGCTATATAAGCACTGCGGGGCAAATTTCATCAGGCTTTTCTGACTTGATTATACCTAGCTTAACTAAATATTCGTTAACCCGTTCTCTATTCTAACCTACATCCCTACTTATATTGTTGTCAGTTTTAATTTGTCTTAAGTCAGCATCAACTTTTCTGTGTGTGTGAAAATGAAGCAGCGGAGGTGTCAGCCTTCCATTCTTTTCTGTCTCACCTCTCTTGTGCTCATCTTTTTCTTCCCAGTAGTTGACCTGTCCTCCTTCTGTCTCTTGAATTCCTCATGTATTTATAAAATCTTTCTCATTGCCTTTGATGCCCTTTAAGTTCTAACTCGCCCTGCGCTCTAGCCATTCTGATTTTCCATGCTTGTGTTATCTATTTATACACTCCTTTAGACAAGTGTCCTGTTTCAACTTTTGCCCAATTTATTTTTGGTTTTCAGGTCATTAGTGAGCTCTGAATGCAAACATACTGGCCTCTGAAGGTCTTTTGTCCCCGTTGGGATAGTTGTACCTTTTTTTGTGTCTCTTTTAAAACTGTCAGCTAACCTGAATTCTTTTTTCCCTTAGAATTCCTTCCCATGGGGACGTTACCTGCCAGTTCCCCCAGTCCACCTCTTTGAAGTCCATTGTCTTTATTCAACAGTTCTCACTCCTTTATGTTGGGTTTTTTTTGATAGTAGGAATATTGAGGTTTGTGGAGGAAGTAGTTAGCTGCCAATGTCAGAGAGAACAGGTAAAAATTACTCATGCTGGGTACTTCAGTGATTTTCCCAAGAAGAGAGGAGTGCTTCAAAAACAGATAACAACCAATGTGTGGCATTCTAAGGAAAGGTTACAAATGTATTTTTTTTTCCTGTACACCTTTGAAATCTCATTTCTGTAATGAACTTTTAAAACACCGTTGTAACCACACCAGTGAAGTGCACTGAAGTGGAGTTGTTGGAAAAAAAAAGTTAACATGATTTTGCACAGTGCCCTTGTAGTCACTGGTGGGGTTGGAATGAAAAAATCCTTGCTTTGCAAGAGCAACTTCTATTCAGAGCCTTTGAACTAATGTTCCTGCTCCGCTCGCTTTGTCCTCTGAGTATACAAGCACCTTTGCAGCGAACATTTTTTTAATCTATATCAAAACATGCTCTACAATTTCAGAGAGAGATTAGAAGGATGAAATACCAGCAGGCACCAAGAGGGAAAACCACTTGTTTGTTTGTTTAAATATTTTACTGTGGAAGACTGATAGATATTTCCATTTCTCCTTTTGGGGAATGTTACATTAACCATCTGAGGCTTCTCTCCATCTTCTTTTCTGCACTCAGTTCAGCTAGCACCCAACATAATTCCTTCAAATACTATTAAGGAAAAATGATGCCTTAACGTGCGTGTGTGCACTTCTAGTTATGAGCTTCCCCTGAAGATGAGAGCTCAACCCACATCCTCCCTGGTTGGTATTCCTCATGGTATCCTTGTATTTAGCGTTTACCTGAAGCTTATTGCAAAAGAGTGCAAGAACTCCCCTGAGAATTAGAACCAGAATTGGATGTAATCCATGTTTGCAAATTCATATTTTGATCCTAGGCTGCTTTCGCACACCCGCTGGCCCTTAAACAGATAAGCAGAAAAATCAACAAACCGGATTGCTGCTCCGCTAGGCAAGACCGTAACCTCCCGCTATCGTTTGGCTTTCCCGAAGTTCTGTGACAAATTAATAAGTGTTTGTATCTCTGCCGCACCGTGGCCCGCGTGAACGCGTGCTGTCAGTTCTGAAGGGCTTTGTATGGTGATGAGCTCGGGAGTTTTTTATATTCCTGGTGTGTTGTCATCCTCCTGCCTGTTTGCTTTGGGGAATCCGCTGGTTGTGTTGCAGTGACCTAACATTTAACAGGCGGTTCAGATTGCTGGCATTTATTGAGTTCAGAAAGTGTAGCTCGTGGAACTGCTTGCCGTTGTGCAAAAAATACTTAAAAAGATGCTAATGCAAAAATACGCCTAGTTTCAGTAAATAAATAAACTCCTGATCTTTCAGGGCTCTTTTAATGCTGTTTTGGCCTGATGAAGTGCAGAGCTCCCAACAGCAGAAGAGATTTGGGATCTAAAGCTGCAGGGGCGGTGAAAAGAAAAAGGAAAAATTAAGAAAACAGTATGAATTCTTATTGACCATCCATATACTTCATATTCCATAAGACATTCCTTTCCCAAAAAAGTTTTCTCTGATCACCTTTTAAAAATTTTTGCTTTCATTCATAACCTTTGATTTTTATTTTTTTTAAGATATCTGTGACATCTTATTGTTATAACCCAGTAAGGGAAGGAAGCTTCCTTATTCTTCCACTGCAGCAATTGTGGTTATTGCCTCTTACAGCCCTCGAGCATACATTAATTTCTCTTTGAACACTTTCCATTTACCTCTATTGATTTGCCTCGTTTGATTTCACTTAATGTTTCCTGTCTTCTCCCATCCCTTGGCGCTGAAATTCATCAACTTAATAATTTTATCTTTTTGATCTTGCACTAGCCCTAATTATTATCCAAGCTGTGGTTTAAATACTGTGTCTTCCGTGTCAGGGGGAGAAAAAAAAAAATTTGTTTTTAATGCTGGTGTGTATCCTGGCTGTCCCAAACTCTCCAAAAGGAGACGGAGATGTAGGGGATCAAAATTAAGATCCTGGGTATCTCTCAGATGGTTTGTAGGTGGCAATAAGAACAAGCTGAGTTCTGGTGCAGAGATTGGATATGTACCTTTGAATCAGATGAAGGGAAGCTGAGTTTCTGAGGAAATCTGTAAAGGTGACAGCTCTGGTTGTGTAAACTGTGCCGGAGATACCCAGGAAAACAGATATTTACCCAGACTGTCAGCCAACATGGCAGATGTAGGAGAGGACAGCGCGAGCTGATGCTTTTTTTCACAGGGATGCGTTGAAAGGGAGTTTGCGGAGCCTGACAGAGAGACAGGCTGTGACAAGTGATTTCTTCTTTCTCATGGCTAAATTAGTTTTTACACTAGCCAAGGAACCACTCTTGTCAAATTTATTGTAGTGGCCTAGATATGTGTGTGTTCCTTTGCCTAATCCAAGCGTGTTTGTAGTTGGCTTTCCAGCACGAGTTCCACCGTTTAGCAGTAAATAGTCATCTTCCTATTCCCTCCTTACATTTTAACTCCACTTTATATTTTACAAAGGTTTAGAAAAGAGGAAATTGCTTGACAAGGCTGTATCCGAGATATCATCCTTATCTTTTAATAACTAGATAAATCAACTTTTCTATTCTTTTAATATTCTCTCTTTCATATTCTTTACGTCTTATGTCCCTTTATCAAACTTCTTCTTCCATCTTAGTTGCTGCTTCTTTCATCTTTCCTGCTGCTGTAAAAACTTCCCCAGTGCTTTTCTTTGACTATTTTTTCCCCCTTATTGAGATCCTGCACTGGGGTTTTCACTCCCACGTTCTTCACATCTGTATAAACAAAAAAAAAGATCATAGTGTATCCATTCCTCCTCCTCATTGCTATGTGCCTTTCTGTGGGCTTTAAAAAAGATCAAAATACTCTAGTCCTGAAGAGACAGAAGTACTTTGCTGAAATATATTGGACCAGTACTGGGAGAGCTGATGCTGTTAAAAAAAGGAGGTAGTTCACAGGTGGAAGAATGAAATGTTCAAAGTAAGACCCTAAGACTTTGCTGGGATCTAAGCATGCTCAGGAACTCTGGAAGATCAGGACACTTTTTATCTGGCAGTCTAATGCTATACCCCCAGCTGTGAAAACATCGCCGCAAGCGTATGCCTGATGCCCGCTGCGGTGGTGCGTGTGGGTGCCCATTTTCAAATGTGGGTGCCCAGAGCACGTTAAGGCACCTCAGGGAGTCAGCTCTGTGCCCAGACCTGTTTGTAACTGCTGCTTATGGGAGCTCAGGTTGAAGCCACAGGTGCTCGGAAAAGCCAAGTCACTCTTTGAGGTGTTGGCGCAATCAGATTTTTTCCGTATGAAGCAGCTATGGGTGTTGCCCCACATCCCCTCGCAGCTGCCAAAGAAGAAAAGGCAAGGAAACGCTGGTGCATCATCTACAGCACTATGAGAGCACACCAAAATTAATGCCATCTGTATCCCAGTTAGATGGCACTGCTTGTGACAGCGTGCCCCACATGCAGGTATGGCATTCATTCAGGAGAGTGCAGGAGCTCCGTGCCTTTTCTGTGAGGGGGCACGTGGCAATTGTTGCATATTTACAGTGGGAAATAAATGTCATTGATTTTGTTTTATAGCCACAGGTAAGATAAAAACCTCGGTTTTCATGTGCTGACCTTCACAAATGAAGCACGCCAGGTCTGGCTCCCCTGGTTCTCGTTACAGCCAAAATGTGGTTGGGAGTTCAAATTCTAGCTGGGATATTAATTCCAGGAGAAAGAGATGGTCTCAGGTGCTGCAGCCCCTTTGTCATTCAGAAGATGAGCAGAAGGTTGGCAGAATCATGTCATGACTGTTTCGTTTTCAGCTGGTTTGATTTGGGTTTGTTGGCCGCCCTCTGCCCTGGGTAACTCCATGAAGCGTTTAATCATACAACAGTATTCAGCCTGGGCAATAAAGCCCCACACTGCTTCTGGTATTAATTCATTTTGGAAGTCAGCAGCTGGACTCAAAGTTACCGTCGAGCTCCAGAAGTGAGAGCCTGATTCAATTGCTGGGTTTGCAGAATGGATTTGAACATTTGGCAGATCCTCTTTGGGGGACAGTTGTTGCCAGTGGTGCATGAGAACCCTGGAAGCCCTCCTTTGCACAGTTGGATCATTAATAATCCAGGCTAAACTGCAAACTCCTAATTGTCAGGCAGGTTGGAATGGGGGTTATCACTTACAGGCATCAACCAAATTGATTATTAAGTGCCGCATGGTTGAAGCAGGACCTCACAGCTTGCAGGCGTCTTCCTTGGGCTGTGGGCAAGGGCAGCGCTGTTGAATGGCAGCAGGAGGATGCTTTTATTGGCAGTTCTGGCACTCGCTGTACGGTTACAGGGGAGCGGGAGAGCGGAGAGACAGGCAAGTGTAAAAAGCAGGAGCAAGCCAATACTTGGGTGAAGTGGAGGCTGCACGGTTTGGGCAATCCACCTGCTCTGCAGCTGAAGAACCTTCAGTTTGAGCCAATGCTGAAACTGTGAGAGGGCAGAACAGCGTGTGAGCGTGTTGTGTGCTTGGGGGGAAAGCCAGAGCAGAGTGTTGACTTGAACTGGCCCAACCAGGTGACATTAATTGCATGGACTCTGCTCCTTTGCCTTTCCAAAAAGGTACTGGTGTGCTCAGGAAAGATTAAACTGGTTTTATGTCTTATCATAGAATGGTTTGGGTTGGAAGGGACTTGAGAGATTGCCTGGTTCCAACCCCCCTGCTATGGGCAGGGACACCTCCCACTGGAACATCTTGTTGGTATAAAGACTGGAAAGTGAAATCAGTTTCATGGCAGATAATATTGAGTAGTGTGTGTGTGCTCACTGTGTGTGATTTCCCTCACAAGGTACAGCGCCTGGCTGGGGTGGGCTCTCATACAGCTTTGTAACACTAAAGGAAGAAAATTAATTTGTTCCGATCTCAGATAAACAAGTAATTATGATAAATGAATAGATTTCATGCTCTTTTGTCCCTGTTAGAAAAAATTCCTAACTCTTTTCCCCCCTCTCTTGTTGATGCTTGGATTCCAGGGTACCAGATCGCCTACCGTCTGGCCAGCAGCAGCCCCAACAAGTTCACGACGGTGGAGGTTGGCTCGACGGTCCGGCAGTTTACGGCTACAGATCTTGCCCCTGAGTCAGCGTACATCTTTCGGACATCTGCCAAGACCAGGCAGGGCTGGGGGGAGCCTCTGGAAGCCACAGTGATCACAACAGAAAAAAGAGGTAATGCTTGCAGCCACAGGTTGAGGTGCTTTCTGTTGCGTGCCTTGGAGCCTGCGCTACACTTAGGGGAATTTTAATAACAAGCTGCAGCCTGTACACCTCCTCCTTCTCACCCCATAAACCTGCCCCAAACCATAGCAACATCATGATTAGAGAAACCTGGTGAGCAAGATAGACTTTTATGAGACACAGTTCTTCTAACCTGCCAGGCTGTTGGAGATTGATTTTTCCATCAGCTGCTATATTGGCCATATGCAGCCTCCTCCTGCAGTCAGATCTTTTTTCAGCTCTCGTTTTCTAGAAAGATTGCAATCTTAAGAAAGTAGGTGATGGATGAATTATATTGATTAGGGAACGCAAAATGAGAGGTGGTGTTGCTGCAGGATTTCTCCACGGCTCCTCCATTGTACCGCGGTCCTGACCTGATGTGTCAGTAATTACTCTGGCCTCTCATTGCCGCACACTTGAGCAGAGTGTTTGCATCAGGATTGCCCAAAATTTTTCTGTTTCTTGCATCAGGCATAAAATGGTTATTCACGTTCTGAATCTCCAATAAAATTCTCTTCTGTAAGGAACCTACCTGAAGAAAGGAGGAGTTACATGTGTATAAATGAAGCCAGGTGCTTAGACACCAAACACGTAAAATGTGAAAGATGAGTAAGGTATTGCAGAATCTGCTCTGCATCATTGCTTGTTTCTAATGCTTTGGCTCGAGTAACTGCTTGAATCTCCAGTCTTAGAACAGATCTCTAGAGCTGTCAGAAAAATTATATTTTCTACTTGTGCATGGAGATTTCATTATTTTTTTTTAATTCAGAGCTAAAAGAGAATATGTTTGTAGAGAACAGGAGTGTGGGTCTTCCTCTGGTCTTGCACAGTATGCCACATTCCTCTGCAAAACACACGCCTGGTCTCTTGGGCTGGCAGAGTTAAAACTAGCCGGGGAACTTTACCAGCATCGCTCCCTTGGGCATCACTGGATTTTGTGTCACGTGCCGCTCTGACCCGTTGTGCTGTCTGGATGTTGATCTTTAAGAAACCTGCTCCCTCAAAAATTAGAACCATGCAACCTCTGTGATGTATAAAAATTGCAGTTCTGAGAGAAGCCCGCTGCAGCAGGTGATTCGGGCAGACCCCCGCGGATGGCTTTTGGCTATTGTTAGCACTGTGGCACGTGCTCGTCTGCCTGCTCTTGCCCGACTCTTGCACTGTACTACAAACAATTATCTTTACTTTTAGTTCTTAGAATGTGCTTACCAAGTAATCTCTCGTTCTAAGTCCTTTCTACACCTTGCAAATCACTGGTGCAAGAGGAAGGCTTCCCCGTGCTATTTGCCCACAGTGTCTTCCTTGTTATTTTCCTATAACACTTGGAAGAAGAGAGGACATTGCCCTGATGGTCAACCACTAGCAACAAGGACCTGTGGGGTGCATTTCAGCTGCTTCTAGCCTGTCTGGTTGGTGTTAAATTCCCACTGGCATCCTTTCCAGGCCATGTGCAGCCTTCCCAGTGCAGTTCTCAAAGAACCTCTAGAGCTGTATTAGGAAACTTAAAGCGCCTCTGCTGAAGATGCTGTCCATCAATGAGATCTGTCAGCTCCAGGCTTCTCCCAGCCCTGTCTGAGTGCTGTGGAAGTGGAAGTTTAAAGTCCCAGCATGTGGACGTTTCAAAAAAACCCACCATGCCTCATAAAACGAATGCTCCAAACTCAGCACCTCTCCTTTTCAATCAAACGTGCTCACATCTCCCAGCCCGTGCACAAGCTGGATACACAATAGCTCAAGGCAGAACTCCCAGCTCCGCTGCGGGAACAACGATCCCTTGTTGCTGTCAATGCTTTAGGGTTATCTTGAGCAGGCAAGTCAGAGTATAAAAGGAACCCTTTCTCTTTTTGATGGATGGCTCTGCTGTGTCTCTGTGCGTGTTGTGGAACTGAGTCTCAAGGCACTGAGGGTTAACTGAAGGGATCCCGTATGTAACGTGTAGAGAGAAGAATGTGTGATTTCACATCATCAAGACTGATATCGGGGAGGATAAAGAAATTTATCCAGTGCAGCTATTTTTTGTAACAAATAAACAAACATGAAACTTATATACATGGCACTAAATATTCTTGAGTTAAAAGATATTTAATTTCCATTAATAAAAATGCATTTGATGTCCTTGTAGTCCTTGATACTAAGGTAGGCAGGCACAAAAATTCACTTGAAAATTAGCAAAATTGGTTACTCTTGTCCTTTTAAATGCCTTGGATAATCCCAATATAAACCTGTACATTTTGCAATGATATCTGTGATCCATAGATCCCAAGCTGTATTGTAGCTGTATTCTCCAGAGGTGGTTCTGCAGTGCTTTGAATCTACATAGAGGTGCGATACCCTTCAGAATCGTCGACACCAGTGATCAGGGCGGGACTGAGTCAGAAAATGTAAATGTAGCAAGAAATTAAAAGCAGCCCATTGAGTCATATGGCCTTAGATTCCTGCACAACCAGCTCACCTTAGCATTTGCTTGTGGCTAAACTCCCATAAATAAACTCTTTACACTCACAGTTTTGTACAAACAGTCAGGAAGTGTATTTGCAAGACAGGAGATTTTAAGATCTCCTGTTAGCAGCAGAAGGAAACCCAGTCATGGGAGACTGACTGCAAGATCTGACCTGCCCAAAACTGCAAGCTGGTTAAAGCTTATCAGCAGAGAGTATTAAATCTCTGCACAACGCTGGCTTCCTCCGATGGAATAACCCCAAATACCTGTCTGAGCCTGTCAGCGTGAGGCATTGACCTTTTGCATCGTACTCCGGCTCACAGGCTGCTGGCACCGGGGGCTTCCTCCAGCTAATAGCTTACAAATCCTGGGGCACCGATGTCAGCAAGAGCACGCTGCAGAGAAATGCCAAAACATGTAGGAAATGGTTTGAGGGGACGGCAGGGAGATGGAGTTCTGGCCGAACAGAGCTGTGAGGACGCGGGCAGGCAGAGGTGTGTTTATGGAAACAAGTGCTGATGGAGTTGGATTGAATTGCTTCTCAAAAGCAAGTCGCTGCGGTGTCTCCAATCAATTTCAGCTTTATTACATGCCACACATTTTAATCAGAATCAATAATCTTCATGATAAACAATTAAACAATTATTCCTCACTCTGTAGAGTTTCTCTATTGAAATCGATGGAGTGTGGAGGCGCGGTGACGGCAAAGGAGATGTATATTGAAACACTTAGGGCATGCTTACCCCTGCGTTGCCATTCCCTGCCTCGCCTCCAAGCCGTACGGTTAATTACTCTGGAGAGATCTCCCTCAGCATTGGCGTTGGCTGGTTTGACTTTGCAGGTTCAAGGTCAGTGGGGATGGAGGGAAGAAGAGGGGAGCTCTGGGTTGAACAGCAGCAGGTCCTCCAGCCCCAGCTCTGCACATCTCCAAGCTGGGGTTCGGAAGCAGCTGCAGGAGCTGCTGAGGGTTCCCCGTTCCTTGCCAGAGAAAGCTGGTGCAGGAAGAACCTTGCCACAAACCCAGTACAACCTGCCAGGATAAGGCTCCCCCGAGTTTGAGGTCTGTTGCTAGGAAAAGGTATATTCAGTGGTGACCACCTCTGCAGGAAGAAAAGGATCAGTTTTACTGCTCCTCTTTGCAGTAGGAGGCTAAGGAATGGGATGGTTTTGAACTTCTTGTCCAGAAGTTCAATCTCCTGTGGCATTAGCACTATGAAAATCCGATCGGGCTGTCATGTTTGTCTTAGCCTGAATCTCCTCCCAAATTATGGCTTAATTACAGAACGACCAGCACCTCCCAGACAGCTGATGACCCCCCAGGGCAATGTGTCATCACGGAGTCTGCTGTTGAAGTGGGTCCCCGGAAGCGATGGATCTTCACCCATCCGATATTTTACAGTACAAGTGCGAGAACTGCCAAACGGAGACTGGCAAACCTACTCCTCTTCCATCAGCCACGAGGCAACATCCTGCATTATTGAAAGGTACGATGTGATCCCAGGCTAGCACAGAAATTCCCACCGTTTTCAATTCCAACGATTAGAAAGGCAAAGCAAGCATCACTCAGCTTCACAATCTTTTTGGGGAAGAGAGGTTAAGTGAGGTCCCTGCTCCCATTTTAGAGGTGGTGTTACAAACAGCAGTTGAGTGATTTGCTGAAGGTTGTGCAATAAATCTAATTAAAGTTGGATTGCAATGCATCTTTTTGAAGCTCTTTGTGAAAGCTCAGCACGGTAGATAACACTACTCTGGCTAAACCACGTGTAGCTACGCAATGCTCTCTAAAATACAACTAGTTAAAAATCCTTTCAGTAGTGACATGTTAAAATCCACTCTCAATGCTGCATTGCAATTATCTCTATGTAAGCTTTTCCAGATGAAATGGGAACCATTTTTGTCTGTGTTTTCCATACTGAAGTTTATAGATAGCATCAGAACGTTTAAACTTTGTTATTCGGGCTTCATTATATCCTCAGCAATGCTGTTGTAATTAAAGTCCTTGTAACATCTGTGGAAGCAATTGAATGTCTATGAGAAGGTGCTTGTTTTGCTGTCCATTTCCTCTATCGACCAGCTAGTACAAATCAGGTTATTTCTAAAAGGCCGTGAGCTTTTGGAGAATCAAGTATTCAAAGCATTCAGATAGAGATTTTGCAAGTCTATTATAAAAACATCAGTGGCGATGGTATATGGCAGCTCACTGGACATGTGCCAGAAGATCCGGATACATTGCTATCCTTTTGTCTAGCTGTGCAGAAAAAGAGAAAAGTTGACAATTATAGGTACAAATATAGACCTGATTCATTGCCTTGGAGGTGTTATACTCACCCTGAATTACACCCAGTATCTTTCCAGTCAAAACCTGTAAAATCAAGGAAACCAACTATGTCATTTAAACTTGATATTGGAATTCCTGAAGACAAAAGATCAAGAAAGATGATTCGAATTATTCAAGTTGCTGTAGGTAGGTAACGGTGTCCTAACAAGGTTGAACTGCTGAAAAGATTTTTTTTCTCCCTCTTGCTAAAAGCATTTTCCTGTGAAAGTCCAGAAGAGTAGTACATGTGTGATGTGAGAGTGCTGCCCATCAGAATCCATTATCCATTTATGTTTAATCATTCCTTACAAGTAACTTTACTTGCATTTGTAGTCAGTGTTAGATCTGCCAGCTGATGGTTAGACACTACCAATTAATTAGCTAAATCCCCCGTAACGTACAGCTCTGCATTTCTAGACTCAAAAGGCAGCCTCCCCCACACCTTCCCCTGCCAAGCCAAGACAGAAGGATCTTTGCGAAGGTTGTGTCAGCTGGAAATCGCTCTTTGTGGATCTTAAAGCACCGCATAGATAAAAAACCTGCAGGGAACCTGTTGTTACTGTCTTTGTTAAATAATCCAGATAATAGCATTAATTTGAAATGCAGTAGGAATAAAATGCACTGATCAAACGGTATGGTCTAGAGGATCAGTCAGAGGGCTGGCACTCTGCATCCCAGTGCCTGCTGCACGCTGGGTGACCCTGGGCACAACACCTGCCTCCTCTCTCCCTGCCATCCCCGTCGTGCGCTGAGGATGAGCTGACCCACAGATCTGTTTGGAGGGTATCTTGGGAAAGCACCTCTACAGCCAGGTTTTGCAGAGCCATGCAAAACTTGACTAACAGCCCATCTTGTCCTCTCCAGCAAGCCCCATTCGGAGGCTGCTCCATCAGCTGCAGCTTCGTGGCTGTTTTCTGTCCCCAATTCGGCTGTGAATCCCTGTGTGTTTTCAGGAGCTTAGGCTAATGGAAATCCGGGAAGATGCTGATGGCAGCGAGGGTGTCAACACCCCCATGTCTTGGGGGGGCTGCAAAGAACAGGCAATGTGGAGGAGAGGCAAACTACTCAATGCCTTCATCCCTTAGCCTTATTTTTTGCATTCCACAGCTTAAACCCATTCACCTCTTACAAACTGCGAGTGAGAGCAACCAACGACATCGGAGACAGCGACTTCAGTGCAGAGACCGAAGCAGTGACAACCCTGCAGGATGGTAAGCGAGGAGGAGAGGCACACCGGGGGCATCGCCATGGGATGGGCGCTCCCAGGGCTCCGGGGTCTGCTGGACCCGCTGCGGTGTGTCCTCCACCGGGACTGTGGAGGGAGAATTCAGCAGCCAGGGCAGTTTTGTTCGTAGGAGATTGATACAGGTAGTAATGAGACGTGGCTGAATTAATAACAGGGAGCCTTAAGTGTCCTGCTGTGCCCTCTGATAATGAATCATACTTTCAGGAGTCTCAGAATGGAATGAAACTCTGTTTGATTGGCTTCCAAACTCTGCACTAACCATTATCTTTGGAGAAATTGAATAATTTACAAGAGATCATTAAAAATAAATGCAGACCCATGCATACATTTGAAGAAGTTTCTTCAATTGTTTTCACTCACAATCCACATCAGTCTGCAATATGGCAAAATTGCTGAGGTATGAGTAAGAAAGAATATGGAGCTCCTGGAAACATGAGCATTTAATCCTGCAGATCAGGGCTAATAAACTGTGAATGACATTGACAAGGCTTTTATTTTTAGCCTTAGAGATCAGCTTCTAATTCCTTGATTGTATAAAGTCAATGCCTGAATGCAGAAGTAGCTTTGATGTCTTGAATGGAGAAAGGAACTCTGCAAAGTGTGAAAAAGCATCAATATTTACCCTTAGCCTGGGAATACTGGCATACACACACGCACATATATGTACATATGGTGCTAGGAATTAGCCAGTATTTAGTACAGCGTAAGGAATGACTGGTTAAATATGACCTTCAGACATAGAAGTAGGAAATAATTTTGTGAAGGAATATTTAGAGAATGTGATTTTCAAATCAGAAAAGCAAAGGACAGAGCTCAGGAGTATCCCAAGTTAAACAAGAACCCATGTAATACTGGAATAATGTGCCCAACAGCCTTTTAAAGACGACTCTTCCACCTTCCTGCACAGCAGCTGCCGTATCCATGCAGGCTGTAACTGGTACTAATGAGGGAGCACTGACTCACTGTTTTGGAATTGAAAATTTTATTTTCAATTCTCTTTGGATTCACTGTAGCTAAATCCAGAGTTGTGCTTGGCCTTCTCACAATACAATGGGGAACCAGTGTGAAAGCTTCTCACCTCCTTAACAAACCGACCGTTTATTCTGCTGAGCAAACCTGGTGCTGCCGCTAGAGCATTGCGCTGCGGAGGGCTGGCGGCTCTTGATAAGCCTTCCCTTCCCTTCCCCGTGTGTGTGTGCTGTAGACCATGGGCACGGGAATGGGTTAACCCGTGGTAAATTGAGGTATCCTAACTAAAATAATCGGTGAATACATGACACAGATTCCTAAAAACAAGGTGGGCTTGCCCCAGCTGTGGCAAAAATACCATGGAAAATTTGGGAGCAGTTTGTTCACGCTTTCAAGCATGCATGCAGCTGGTTTAACTTTTCCTTTCAAACACGTTCCAGTCCTTTGTGAGCGGCTGGCATGCTGCAGCTTTCTCCAGGTTTATGCCCTCAGCTTTTATCTTATTTCTGCTCAGGTTGCCAAGGGCACAGGGTAGAGCAAGGGATGTACGAGAAGTGTGTGGCTCCTGCCTGGGCTGCAGTGTCCGTATCCACCACCTTGCTTTTGAGATCCACCACAGAGTAGCTGGGATACAAGACTTTCTTCAGCAGCAAAGAAAGAGAGTCTGATGAACAAAAGCCGCCCGTTTTCAACCCTGTTGCTATAACTGCTTTGGTCACGTTCTTTTCTTGTTTAGTTCCAGGTGAACCACCCAGTTCTGTGTCAGTAACTCCCCACACAACTTCCTCTGTCCTTGTGCAGTGGCAGGTAGGTAGAACGAAAAATTTTGATGTTTCTGGAACAATTTTTTTGGTTGCTTTGACTTGTTGACCTCAGTGGTCCATTGCAAGGGATGTTTTCCTGAGCTGGAAGTACTGTAGTGAAGTTGAAGGACTGCAGTTACTTCATTATTTCCCTGATCTAGGCATATATGGATGGATGGAAATTTCTGGCAGTTGCTTTTACTTTGTGCCCCATGAAAGAAAGCTTGGGAGGTAAAGGAGTTTCTGTAGCGATGCCCAAGATCATTACTTGCACAGATTCTCCTGTCCTTTCATCGGTATCAGTAGCTGTGCATCTCTCCATTGAAAACATTCACCGGCGTGCGGCACTGGTGAAGGGCAGGTAATCAAAAGCTCGCTTTTGTTCGCCTCATGTACTGCCTCCTTCAGCTGCTGGAATAATCAGAAGTGTGTGCCGTGCCTGAGATCCTGTTCCTACCTTTGAGGAACTCCACATGCCCTTTTGGCTCCTTGAGAGCTAAAAATTGAGATTTCTTCAGAGAAAAGAAAGGAAGCTTGAGCTCTCTGTAATATCTCCAAGTTGGATGTGAAAGTATTTGTGCCAAGTCTGCGTTTTATAGAGGCATTTCCTCTGCCTGCCTTTATCTTTCAATACTGGCCTCCTGGGAGATGCTGGAACATTTTGTGACCCAGTGCCTGAGGTTTCTTTTTGCAGAGTGAGCATTAATAGAGGGAACCCAGCGGGGTACTGCACGTGTGCCATAACCTATCCTGGAAATGCTCTGCCCACCCTGAGACAATGTCCCACAAACAGCGTAAGGAGAACTTTGGACAGATTGCATGATAGTGAAACATGTACATAGGTGTTTACAGCACAGATGGGGCTCCTTGCATTTTTGGAGGGAAAAAAAAATATATGTATGAGGGTCTGTTTATTGCTATGCAGCAGCACTTAAAAAAATACGCCTGGCTGTAGTGCTGGGTTGCTGGCCCAAGCATAATACTGAGCAGCATCATTGCTTACAGCATGTTGAACAAATAGGAGACATGTTGAACAGTTTTACCAGAGGAATCATGGAGAGATGTAAATCTACCACCCCACCTAGAAGTAAAGCACACAGTGAAGGAAAAAAAGGTATACGGAGAGGACGTGAGGCATGATGTACTGCAGAAATAAACCTTCTCCCAATTGACTGATTATTGGTGTGTAGTTAATGCGAAATAGGTGGTTGTTTAGGTAATTGGATGCTTTTTATTTCATGAAAACGAAATGGGGTTGTTGTGCCAGAGTCATCTCAAGGGAGATGTGGGCGATTATATGTCATTACTACATGTATATTAATAGGTCCTGGTAATTCAGCCATACTATATTTTTCAAATAAACAAAAATCTTCAAGTCCCACAATAGCCTCCAATTAAGAGGAAGTTTCACAGCAGTGTCTGGAGAAATAATGTAAACTGAAAACAGCAGTCAAGCTAAATGGGAGAGTAGATTTCCAAGCAAAGCTAAATTTTTAACTTTGAGCTGTGTTAATAATTCAGAAAACAAACTCTAGATGCACTATCTGTGCTTTCAGCTGCTTGGTCCAATCAGTCCATTATTTTTAAATTTAAAGTAGGAAGAAAATAAGTAATTTCCATTGAGGTCTGCTGTATCAATAATGCAAGGTTGTTTCAAATGTTCTGGAGGATATTACAGTTAACATCGGGATCATGTACTGCTCTGCATCTACCTTAGAGATAACAATTATTCAAACTTACATTTTAGTCTTTTTTGAAATTATTTCTAAACAGCACAAAAATGTTGCTCTTCTGTACAACATTACGGGCTGCCACTCATAATCATTTTACCTGTTTCAGCAGATCCCTCAGGCCTTCCTACAAAATCCTAAATAATCCATTACGTCAAAAGCAGAGTTTTGTCTATGAAAAACAGACAGGAAGGGGAAGACCTGACCTTTTAGCAGAGTACCCTTTTCAGGAAAGGATCATCATTTCCATGGCAAGGAGAAAGACAGTTTTCAAGCCATTTATTTTCTGAGCTTTCCTGTCCTAAATTTAAAGGAAGGAAGAAATGGAGAATCACATGAAAGCGTAAGAAAACAATGCTTGCTATCAACAAACCAGCGCTGGACTGCAATGAGGAGTTGTGCTTCGTCTGTTATGGCAGAGCAGGGAGTAACAGCCTTTCTCAGCTTCAGCAGCATTTTCCTTTTAAGATTCTGTGGGATATTCCACCTCAATTTTTTTTTTTTAGTTTAAAAATGAAATTATTAATACTTAAAATAGGAAAATATTGACTCTTTCCAAGAGCACCTTTCTTCTAAGTAATAATTAACTGAAATATAAATCCATGTAGTGTTCATGGTGGGATTTTTTTTGTTGTATGAAGTTTGTTTCCATGCTGGACAGGCTTTTGTGTTCTTGCAGCCTCTCTCCTCCTTTGTGGTGATGCTCTCCAGGTGTATCTTGGTTGGACAGAGCCTCCCTTTGCCTGTGGAGCAAGCAGTCCTCAGGCTTTGTGTTGGGATTCCTCTCTGCCAGGACAGAGGGACGCGAGGACGCTGCTGTGCTGTGGAGCCCTTCCTCTGCCAGGGCACCACCAGAGCTAAAGCAACTTCAGTAGCATATAGAAAACAAAAGAGGAAAGTTAGAAGATTGGAAAAGAAAAAAAAAATCATGATAGATGTACTACTAATCATGGGCAGTAAACCATATCTCATCTTTTCCACTTTGTGGAGAACGTTTCAGGTGGTCCGTGAGCGACCGTGTCACCAGGCAGCCCTGGAGAAGGCTGTCACCTCGGTCTGTCAGCTCCGTCCTGTGAGCAAGGGGCTCAGTCTGAGACTAGGAAAGGCTGTTGTACGAGAGGCTGATTTATTTGCATTCTAAAATGGGGTCTGAGAGGGAATATCGTTGCCCTTTTGAAAATACATCTTGGGAGTAAACACCCCATAGGGAGAAGAACAATTTAACGCAAAAGGCAATGTTAGCAGAGGAACAAATGGTTATAAACTAGCTATGAATTATTTAGATTAGAAATTAAATGAAGATTTCTAACTGCCCAAGCAGTGAGGCCTGGAGCCACTTTCCAGTAGGAATACTGGGAAGCAGAAGGATTAGCCTGTTTTCTGGTGGAGCTTGCTCTGTGAAAAGGGACTTTGTACTTTTGGGGCCCCTCACGATCCTGCTCCCCTAGATAGTTCTGTAACGCAGATGCTAAATAATAGTGAAAGGTGGTCAGACCTTCTCCAAAAGGTGGAGCATTGTAATGAGCATGAACCATAGTGATGAATGAGGTTCTCCAGCCGTGCAGAGCAAGCACAGCAAGATCTCGGGACTGTTGGGGTTGCTTTCAGCAGACACTGTTCAGGACAATGGCAAGACAAGCTGGCTTCTTGCAGGAGCAGTTTCTGCTCCTTTTCCTGGTAGCTGTGTAGCTTTCTTATACTCTGATTCACATGATTTTCTTTCTTTTTTTTTTTTTTTCCCCACAAACTACAATCTTTCTACTTAATTCCTTCAGCCCTCAGCCAAAGCCAAGTCCTTCACACTGCGACAGGACAGCCCTCTCTCTCCTCTTGCCATTGTAATGAAGGAATGGAAAATTTGTGTCATTTCTGGAAGCAGAATATTGGGTTATTACCAAATATCTTCCTCCTTTCCTGCAAAAATATTGTTTCTTACTTCATTAAAATTACATGTGGTGTTACCGTCTGTTGTGACAGCATTTCACACCAGCGGTTAATTTTTCCACAATGGACAGAAGGTTTTCCTTAGTAAAGTTCTCAAGACTGCTAGGGATCTTTCTGGATTAAAGGCGAGATCGTCATTAAAATCCTTTTCATTTATACTTTCAGCCCCTTAAATTTCAGTACAAGAATCTTGAGACGATAAATGGCTCAAGGCATGTTTTTTTTCTCTGCAGTTCTTAGCCTGTATTAGGCTCATGAAAGTAATTTTTTTTTTCCCAAAATATGAAGAATCCCTTTGCTTGTCTTTATTTAAGCAAGCCATTCAGACAAAAATCTCCTTTTTGGTGTATGGGCTGTGTACCTGTGTCTGAAGGAAGATGCGAGGGGCTGTTGAAGCATCCTTGCTGAGGTATTATGTCTTTGAGCATCTTCCAGCATGTCATAGAAGAAAAAAACCTAATTTTTTGAGCCAGCCCAATGGCCACACATAGCGGACTGCCCCAAGCTGTTACAGAGCAGACCTGGGTTTGCCTGTGGGACTGGACCTGTGCAATGCACCAGAGTCCATCATGCTGTGATTCCTTTCTAAATGCCTCTCTGGGGCTATTAGACCTATTTTCATCTTCCTAATGAGAGCCAGAATACACCAGTGTTATTTTCTCATCAGTCTTTCAGTAAAATAATGCCAAAGGAAGAATGCTCTCTGAACAGTTCCCAAGGAAAATAGGCACTAAAGAAATTCTGTCTTTGACAAAGTAATTTATTTCTTTTCATGTTGGAAGAAGTGAAATACTGTTTTGCTGTTCTGCTGTTGGTGGCCAGCAACATGCATTTTCAGGGACGTGCTTATTGATATTCTTTATCGCTCACAGGTTTCTATGGACCAAGAAGGAAAGGAGCTTGGCTCTTAGCGTAGTGCACCAGGTGTCAATTTTTAAGTCAAGAGCCTTTTGTAATTGCCACAGCTGAGTGAAATCATCAAAGTTACCTTTAACTTGTGTTCTTCAAATTGCACAGCAGTTGACCCTGGATATTATTAATGGCTATTTTCACCGGAGAGCACCCTGTCCCTTTGCATAGGACCGGTGTCAGCTGCTGCCCGTTGTGATGGATGTTTGTCGCAATGCACATCTTAACAAGCCCCTTCTTAATGGGAATGTTTTTCAGCCACCCAAAGCTGAGAGTCTCAATGGCTTGCTGTTGGGATACCGGATCTACTACCGGGAGCTGGATTACGACGCTGGAGTTGGAACAGAATCCAAAACCATCCCGAACCCTTCACCTTTAAGAGCAGAGCTCACACGTAAGCCTGTGTTTTGGACCCTATGATATCCCAGAACGGTAACTTGTCATTCTACTGGACACTGTATGCCCTCTTGTTTAAGCAGGCTGGAGATTCTTTAGCTTTCACACAATCAGGGTGAAGATGCTGAAAAATGCGAATAACTCTGATCAGCATTGCTCGTAATGGTGCGCTCTAATCTACGCCAGCACGCTTTAGTTGATGTTGTGTCCCTCATGGATCTTCTGATTTCCTGCTTTCTGCTACCTCCAGTTCATTATTACCCTCGTACACTTTGTGCTGCTATCAGACAAAAAAGAGAGGGGCTTCATTTTCCTTAGTTGGGGACCTTTTTCCTTCTCGCTATTTTTTAATAGTTATAACTGACATTTTGGTTTTCTTTTTGCAGTATAAGCAAACAGCTGAGGAGAAAATTTAAGTTGAATTTTTACAGTTTCAAAGTGTTTGTCCCTATTTTGGAAGAGAATGGCAAAAATGAGCAAGAATTCTAAGGTGCATGTTTGCCGTGTTAGTCACTGGCTTTTTGGCTCACATGGAAAGAAGGGGGAGAGGGAGAGAAATAATGGAAAAATTAAAAAGCTTTTTGGACAAAGTCTAGAGAGGAAATCAGAGGGAGGAATAGACAGAATAAGATGATGGGAGGCAAAGATGTGAGCGCTCAGTAGCCTGACAGATAGGGTCCAGCAATGAGACGTGCTCACAGAGGGACGGCTTTTGTCCTGTTTGATGTCAGTGGAATACCCAGGACAAGACAATACTCATTCTAAGAGCAGCAGAATTGGGTTGGGTGAGACTTTTAATATCTTACATCATCTTCCATGTTTTCCTGAACCCCTAAAAGTTGTTTCTATGAAAACAAGTGTGATTTTTGTGGTGGTGTGGAAAAAGTGGAGGCTTTAAATACAGCGTAAGCACCCAACGCTGACCTCACTTGTATGGCCAGTGCTGAATGAGACTTCTCAGGCTGTACAGAGCTTTAACCAGGACACAGTGGAGATGTAAAGCCCCTATAGGTGTAGGTATGCATAAGTGGTTTTTTACCAGACAAAGGCTGAATGACTGGCTATGAATATTATCACGAAATAATGACTTTGGGTGCTCTGCCAGGGAGCCTCCAAGACCTGATGGTTTCCTCTCTTCCTTCTTGGCTGGCCCAGAGCTATCTTCCTGATAGCTGCAGAGTAGAAAGAAACATGCTGTACCTCTCCAGGGAGTCAAGAGAGAGAGAAGGATGGAGACAGGGGTGTTTTAAGATAAATTTCCCTCTTTCTCCTCATAATATGACACTGCTCACCTTAGTACATCTCTGTTCCTCACTGACCTGTGGTTTTGCACAGCTTGGAGCATTATTACAGTTCGCTCACAGCAGGAAATTTGAATTCTGTAAGTGGAACTGTGGGGAATCTAACACACATTTAAAGAAACAGGTCCTGTCCTATTGCGAGTGTTCGCTCTTCGTGGCCCGTGTTCCAGGTCTTTACCCTGCAGCTCTTCAGGTTTTGAATTTTGAGTGTTTGGAAATAGGGATGCAATACGCTGTGGAGAGTTTCCCCCCTAGAAATTGTTTCGGTTTTACTCATTTGTTCTATTTACTCTAGGAGTCAGACCATTTCTGTGTTGTGTATTTGTGAGATGCTCTGTTTGCGGAGGAAATGAAACCGCCCCGTGTGAGTGAGATGCTTTTGATGTGTTACGAGAGAGTGATGTGATTTTATTGCCCTTCAAGGTATGGTCCTAAAGCTCAAACTGCATATGTGTGTGCTGCATCATTTGCTTCTGTCTCTGCTGTACATAATTTGCAATAACTATTTCCTTGTACTGTAACAAGCTTTCTGCTTTGCTTACCCCGAATAGCCCAAAGCAGCTTCAAGACAGTGAACAGCAGCTCTGCATTAACGACATATGAATTAACACGTAAGTGCACATTGCCTTTAGATGAGACTCTTTGTAATGGTTCAAAATACACTATAGGCAAACTCCCGTGGTTCTCCTCAGTGGCTCTAGCAGAAATCAACACAGATAAATGATTCTGCGTTCTTGAGTTTCTTTTTTTTTTTTGAGCCTTTGCTTTCCCCACATCAAGAGGCATTGACGATGCAGGTAGGTAGCTGTCGTAAAAATGTGGCTGCTGGGAAGGTAAAATGTTATTGACTGTAACAACCCACTATTGCTGATGCTAAATGAATTTTGATTCGCTTGCTACATATTTTGCAGTCCATCCAAGTTTAGCTGTATCCCATCGTTAGCCCTATGATTCAAGCATTGCGATGCTCAGGCAGGAGCAGGAGGCCAGTTTAGAGAGGGCTCAATGAATTTATGTGCATCTCCAGAGGTGTTTTCAATTGGAAATGAATAAAATAGCATTCGACAGAGTTAAAAGGCAAGTTGCTTTGTGGTGATGATGGTTCACTAGATAGGTTTTGCCCAAGGCTTTTGAGTCACAGATTGTGATGGGCTAAAAAAAAAAAAATTAGAAAAAATGAAGCCCTATCCCCACTGCAACTTGCATGCATGAACTCTCGCGTGCTCCATTTTGTTCCACATTCAGTTAACACTAAAATCTCCCTTGTGGCTTTTCATGGCAGCAATTAAAGCTTCCGCATACAAGCTGCCCAGTACTGTATCGTACATATCTTACCATTGTGTGTTTACAAACTTAGCATCATTACTGCTCATTTGCTTGCTACAGGTTTTGCAGCCCATCTGAGTTCAGTGGTGTCACATCAAAAAGTTAGTGATGTATCAGATATCGTTTGCGGTGTGCCTGAGACCCGGGGATGATGCTGGGCTTTTAAGTCAGATTTAGGAACACAACACTTGTAAACATTTCTGTGAAATTGAAATGAGGTAAACATGTATGATTGGGCTTATTGAACCTTGCCAAACCGATAGCACGCTGTCAGCCACGGAGTTCAGGGTACTATGTGATTCATAGATAGCAGAGAAAATTATTGGCAAAGAGAGAAATTTAGACCCCTGGCCATGCGTGTCTTAATCAATTAAATGCTCATTTAAATACAGCAATTTGTATTATTGATTGCTCTCTAATTTCACTGTTAAATATTTTAGGTTATAAATATTTCTGTTAGGATTGATTCTTTTGTTCAGAAAATATGAAATCTGAAATGAAACTGCTCAGGTGCTGCCTCCCCTAATGACGTTGACATGATTCTACTCCACCCTCATTTGCATCTACTAATTACTCTCATACAATTGGGGTTTTCTAGATTTTTTTTTCACTCTACTCTCGCTCTCCTACCTCATCTGTCAGAGTAGTTTCTATATGTCAGCAAAGAAATTGGTTGCCTGATGGCCAAATGGAGTCCAGAATTCAAACCCTCTGTGATTGATGCTCAGGCTGGGGTCACTTTGAAGGAGAAGGACACCTGTGCGGTACTTCAGATGGGACTCCTCTGCAGGTCTTCTTCTGCTTCCCAGTGACGTTCTTGAGCAGTGCAGATGCTAAATGACTCCCTGGATTAAAGTTACAAGGACTAGGCAAAGGCTTGGAGCCATGTTCTTTCTTACCAGTAGAGAAGGAACCCATACATTGAACATTCAAAGCAAAGTCCTGCCTTTTTCTGTCGTCTAGAATGACCTAGAGATGTTCCCCTAGCTAGTTACCCATCAGGAGTGATTCCTCTTACTGGAGCAACACTGTGAGGAAACACTGGAAAAAATCCTGCCATGTCATTACAAACATCTTTCATGATTATGCAAATTCTGCTGCGCTGTGTGAATTAAGGAAGGATGGAAGTAGAGATTGCAATAATTGTGCTGTTTAATGGTGTATTTAGTGAGAGAGAAGTCTGGTGATGGAGTCTAAAAAATACCTGTAATACAGTATAAATAATTATATATCCTATTTTACTTTTTCAGAGTTGAAAAAATACAAGAGGTATGAAGTACTAATGACAGCATATAATGTAATTGGTGAGAGCCCTACCAGCACACCAGTGGAAGTGTTTGTGGGTGAAGCAGGTAGGTAAAAAGAAAATTAGTTGATTTTTTAAGTACTGGCATGTTTTAATATTCTCCAGATAATATTTAATGTTTGTTCAGGAAATGAATTATTTGAAAACTTCCCTGTTCACGGTCACTAACAGGTTTTTTGGAGTGTCCTCTCCTGGAACAGGTTGGCACTGACAGTTTCTTGCCATTTGAAAGCCAGTTGGTCTACACGAATAAGGGAGAAAGGGCATTTGAAAGAAAGAAGAGAAAATATTTTTTGGAGTTGCAGGAGGATGACTGGTCATACCAAATTAGCTTGAGGGAAAAATTGACTCAAGTTAAAGAAGTGAAAAGTGGAGCACAGGAAAGCCACAAGGGAAAAGAAACAAAGCTACAAAACAAGAGAGAGTTGGAAAGCTGGTTCTTTTATTGTGTAGCTCTCTGTGTAGAGGCATTGTCTGTGCACCACACCTTGCTGTATTTTTATGCTCTTGAAGTCAAGAAGGCATTGTGTCCAGTTCAATGCTCGCTGTGGAGGCAGAGAGGATGATTACTCTCAGGAACACGCAGGCTCTGTACAATCATCCAGGCTCTACAGAAGCAGAGGGTCAGTGGCACTATTCATCCTTCTACTTATTATGGGTCTAGTGCATGAATCCAGGCTGTATTTATGAAATGTAACTTGATGATCATTTTAAAATCCCTCTGTTGGAAGGGTGGTGGAGGTGGAAATTGGGATGGGACAGGTAGCTAGACTCTTCTTGGAATGGTTTGTGAAACAGGTGGGTTTGCAGAGCCCAGATAACCTGCCGCTGGGTCTGTTCCTCTCCGTATCTCTCGCTGAGAAGCGCAGGACTGGAATAGCTGATGTCTTCCTCAGAGCCACCGCGGCGGTGCCGGATTTATGGTGACCTCAGCTGGAGAGACGCTGGCGCCGAAGTAGTTGTTAGTTATGGTATCAATTTCTGCAGCGGCATATTTTGAAGCTGAGAACAAGAACAGGTGACACAGACCCTCCTGTTGTTCAGTCTGCTGCCGTGAATGAGTCTGATTACACTTCTGTTCTTCTGTCTCAAGGCTAGGATGTGGAAGCTATCAAACCCAACACTAATTCTTTTTATTATTATTCATTAAATATTCTGCTGCTCAAAACTAAGCAAAGCACATTTTTTTAAACTCTGCTGCACATTTCTTTAAACTCTACTTAACCTTTTCATTTCTAATATGGTGTAACATTCACTATCTTTCTCTGAAAACATCATAAATTAATCAGAGCAGCATGGTTCTGGAGAGACAGCTGGCAATATTTACATTTTTTTCTAGTTTGCTGCTGCTCCAACTTCTGAGACTGCAGCAAAGACAGACCCAAGTGGAGCCAACTGGATCTGGCTTCAAAATACATTTTTGTTTCAGAGCTAAAGATCTCACTGCTGTAAATGGAGCCAGCACATGCATTTGTACACATGTACACCACACAGAAAATCAGCTGAGGAAAACAAGGAAATGCTGTTATATCGTGCCTTTTAATCCCACAGTCCAGGTCTTCATTATCGTAACTCAGACAAGGAACAGGGCAGCGGAAGGAGCCAAACTTGGAAGGAAACTGAGATGTCCAGGAGAGCTCCTTTCGCAGGCAGGGCTGGTGTCTCTGAAGCTGTAGCGTGACTCAGATGTTTTTTTAGAGACACTGGATTTACCTCTGGTTAGGGACAATCCAGGTTCACGCGGTAGAAATGATGAATGGAGGATCTTCCTATTGTTGTGTGAAGTTATTACGCTTTGTTATATAACTGCCTCTTCCACCTCCAGAACTGGCTGTGATTTATCCTGTGAGTAAAGTGACTGGAGCTGGTATTGCAATTTAAGTTTTAAATTGATTTGTGACACCTTTGAGTTAAAGCATGCTGTGGAAATACAAGTTTTTGTTGTTATTGTTCGCTTGATGTTCTTACCCATGGTAAAGGCGGTTAAACAGCAAGCTGGAAAAAATGGGTCTGCTTAGCTTCAGCAATAGGGTATCCACGTTAAAAACAGAAAACCTTCCCAATAAACAACAAGTGCTGGCAACATGGGCATTGCACTGAACACAAAATGACTGAAGGAGACCAGTCCCCAGGCTGAAGGCTCCAGATAACTTCCATCTCGGTACTGTTGAACGTGCTCCGTCCTGCCGTAAGGGCTGCAGTAATTCTGGTAGGTGTGAGAATGTTCCTCTCTCAGTTATAAAAAGGAATATACAGCATGTGCCTTGGGGGAAATGTGCTGCGTTTAGGCCAGTTCAGTGAAAATACCCGATTCTGTGCCGTCCTGGTGGGTGTTTCATACAGTGTGGGGCACCTAGAATAACACTGGCCGTTAATGTGCTGTTCAGCTCCAGGGTCTGGTGCAGCCAGACGAGTGGGGCAGAAGTATCTGTAAATCCTTCCTTCCCTCTTGGGCTCTCCCCTGTTAGATTTGAAAATTTTCTTGTGATTGTATCTGGATTTTTAGAGTAAAAGGGCAAGTAGGCAATGGAGCCCCCTGACAAACTTAAAAAAAAAAAGCCATTAAAACCAACCTTCTGGCGGTTTTGCTGATCAAACGAGTGAAAAGCACCTGAACTGGGGAGTTTCTCTTGAGTCCTGGCATGCTGGTGAGCTGTACCCCAGCCGACAGCCTTCTCTGGCAGCACAGGCACTCGGGTCTCGCTTGGATCCAACTGATCGGCAGGGGAAAATTTTGGGGGAGAACAACCTGCTGGTAGGCAGCAATGGGCTAGACACAAGAAACAGACCTCTGTGTCCCGAGCTGCCTGGTGAATAAAGGAGCTGGATACAAGTGGTTTGGGGTTTTGGGGGTTCTTTTTTTTTTGCTACAGGTGGAGCAAAACCTTTTCCTTGTTACAGTAGCCCGTAAGATCGAAGCCCCGGCAAAGGCTCTGTTTTGAGTTCTACCTGGATGTTTGCAAAACTCCCTGATGTGAAGAGCAATTCCTCTCCTCTGTGCCAGGAGCATGGGCTGGGAGTCCTTGTGCCCAGCGCAGCCGGGAAGGATGCTCTGCCCGTTCAGTCTGAACAGAGCCAGCGTCCTTCCCCCGCCTGCCTCGGGCACCTGGATCCCTCTCCTCCACGGACCAGCAGATCCTCCTACCATCGCCTTTGTGGAGCTGGCTGCAGCTCTGCCCTGCTCATTAGAGAACCATGTGCATCTCTCAACAAATGACAGAAAAATTGAAAGCCGTCACTTGCAGAAATTAGGAAGGGACTTGCAGCCCTGTCGGCAAGCCCACTCCTCGCCTTATTAATTCATTTAACAGTTCAGCTGTCAGGGATGCTGGCTTTGATTGGGAAGGCAGGGAGAGGCTGTGTACTGGTGATATTCATCCCAACCCTAAATGCAGCTGTTACCAGAGGTGCTGTTCTTCTCGGCTGAAATTAAGACTGCGTTAGAGCAGCCACTATATCAAGAGCATTATTCTACCAGGTTGCTGTCGCTATCTGATTGTGCGGTGGGCTCTGGAGTTCAGGAGGCTCCACTCCCTGCATTGTAATTAAACAGAAATCACAGGTGTGCTTCACCTAGTTCGGGAAAGTGAAGAAAATGGAAGGTGGCAATACAAATCCTGTGCTAATGAGCCTGCAGCCTCCAGTGCTTCTCCCGTATACTGCGAAGCTGTTCTGGATGAAAAATAATGGAATTCATAATTTCTTCCAGCAGCTGCTGCTGGAGGAGAGCGTATGTGCGCGGAGAGGAGGTAGCAGGAGGAGTGAAGTGCACCCAGAGACGCTAGCCTTTAAACAGGTTGTAAATCCATTTATGTGAAGAGGGGAGTGATGTGTGTCATTATAACTGATGGTGACATCGGTGACCTTCAGAATTCACAAGAACTGATGAGGCTGCTTTGTTGTTATTCTTTTTAATAATGATGTCTGAGAGCTAGTTCTGCAATGGGAAAGAGAAAAAGTAAAAAGGGCTGGAAGGCAGAGACTTCTTAGAAGTCCTCCATTGAAATGCTGCCTTGGTTGCTAGCATCCTCTTTCAGAAAAGCAGGTTTTCTGGCCATCTCCCTTTCTTCAAAGCGAACCTGTAGCTTGAAAAGGAACAGGAGTGGGAAAGGGGGATGATGGCTTCTTACCTCTCTTTTCTTGCCATCTTTAAATACTTGAATTTACCTCTTGGTGCAAAGTTTGCAGATGGCAAAGCAAATTTCTCTCTAATCACTGTTATCCACAACTATTTTCATCTGCCCTCCTGCGTACAGCTCCGCAGGTATTCCTGGAGGTCTCAAACTTTATTTTGTCCACCTGTAGCTGACGTATGGGTGGCAGCTCTGCTCTGCCAGTAACATCAGGGGAAGCATGCAGAGCTGCCTGGACTTCTCCAGCATCTTACAGGCAAGAAACAGAAACCATCTGGAAAGCTCCAAGACCAAAAATAGTGATTTAGGTTTGGGAAAGAGAAGATAGCATAGACAAAATAAGCCATGCTAAGGAGCAAGAAGCCTCATAAGGAGGCAAAGACTGGACTGCAGGCACCTGGCTCCCCTTTGCTGCTTCTAGCAAAGAGTTCTTGTCCCTTCTTACCCGGTTATCTGTGCTTGGGTAATGTCCCTCGTGCTAATGCCAGAGCAGGTTGTCAGAACAAGACTGCTTTGTCCTTGAGTGTTTGCATCTGTTTCTGCAGGCTTCACTCTTTTCATGCATTCACACAAAATACCCTGCATGGTGTCACCTCCCCATTGTAGGTGACTTTCTGGAGAAGGGAGTCCCTCAGCACTACCTTGGGCCCCCCTTTTCTCCTTTAGCACAGAAGTTTTATTTCCTTCCCTGCCCTGAATGTAGCTGAGAAGATGCCGTGCGGAGAAGTCCCCTGTGCCTCCTTGTTAACAGCCTACAAGAGGAATGACAACATTTCAACGCATTAGAGCTGGCAGCTTCAATCAGCCTGCCGTGGCCCCCTCGGCTGTTTTCTCCTATCTGTTGGGGACACGTGGGCCAGGGCTCGTGCTGCCTGGCTGTGCTTATGCAGATAGGGAGCACGTTGCTGCTGGC